CTATATATATATATATATATATATATATATATATATATATATATATATATATATATTTTATATTGACAGTATAAAAATCAAGGAAGTTTATAATTCTTTATTTTTGTGTATTAAACTGCTTATTTTATATACAGTTTGTCAAATGGTGAAAACAAATACAGAAGTAATCATAAATTAGACAACAATTACATTTTATAATCTTTGCTTTGCATTTCCAAAAATAATTTTAATTGAAAAAAATAGAACAGATCTTACAACATTCCGTATACACTTCCCGAGGAATCCATTAATTTATTTTTCGACGTGCAGTGATTTATTTGAGTGAAACTATTATTATTATATTAATTATTAGGCAATTCATTATTGTAATAGTAATTGGTACATCGTAAATATTTTTTCTCGACTTGGAGGCAACGTAAATACCGCTCAGTGTTCCCAGTAATAATTAATTGTTAGTCGTTTATTAGCTCGTGCCCGCGTCTACAAGAGAGAAAGGCCTTCCAGCTTTCTGATATTGAGAAAGACAAAGAATCGACAAGTAACTTCCTGCTATCGATACATCTCGGGTCAAGCGGTGCCCTTCGTTTACCGAGAATCAATGTTGCGTTCGTTTATTACCATATCGTAATGACGGTATACTGTCGCAAACGACGGAGATTATTGATAGCTGATAGCGTGGCGTATATCAAAGTTCTTGTCAGGCGTTTTATCACTCACGCCGGTCGATGGGTAAATAGAGGTGCGTAGAAGATAATATACGGCGCGAACGATTACGCGATGACGCGTTTTCTCGAAGCTGTGCGTTATCCCTCTGCAGATAAAAATTTATACATCCGTCTCCCTTCGCGTTTGATTAAACAAGGAAGGAACGAAAATCGAATGTAGCGAAATAGGAATTTTTCTTATTCCCCGTCGTATACCGTCGACAAAATTCACCGAGGGATCAGCGGAACCGATGGATGACGAGATATCTCTATCTTCGTATCTAGCGCTCAACAGGAAATGGGGTTAGACCTTGTGATCAGCCGCGGTCAGGAAACGAGATCAAGCAGCACGGTGCGCACGTTCTAAACCGGAAAAGGGCGCCACGACGCTTGATACAGGTACGGCTTGGGTGATATATCTTGATGCTCGGCGTCTTTCGTTCGCATCCCGATATAAATTTACTCTTTGTTTCTACACCACGACTGTTATTACTTTCTAATAAAGCGATATTGCGCCGTGGCGCGGCCGTGCTCGCTCGCGCGAGCAAATGATGTGGAACGACGAGTTAACGAGGCCGTGTGCCTCTTATTGCCTCCACCTTCGCTTCGGCACTCATTCCTACCTGCCGCTATCGTAACGATCCGTTTGTTTTACTCGTCGACGTGGAAGCTCGTCAGGACCACGCGGCCAGGACCGAGAGCGCATCTGGACGAATGCTGCGCGGTTCGAGCACAATGCGGCGAAAGAAAACCATCGCGGTAACTTCCGCGATACCCGTCCCGATGCAAAAAGAAGACATAATTGGAAAGGCCGCGAGAGTCCGGCCGGCTATAGCCGGGCCACGTAAGAACGAATACCATCGAATTATCGGAAAACATTTTTACAGGCTCATTAATGCTCGGAACGGCGCGGAATCGTATTTCTCTCCTCTGGCGCGCGCCCGCGCGTTATATCATCCTGCGAGTCATCCTGCAAAATGTACGAGCGGTATATGTGTAATTGGTCTATCGGGGTCATACGTGGCGATCGCCTACCTATTAACCGCGCGAGAATTATTGTACTTCCGCTCTAATGCATTTTCGCTCTTGCTCACCCACGATACTTCACGCATCGCGAGGAGAAAAGAGCGGATTAAACTATTTTTTCGCGATCTAATGGGATCGCGAAGTCAATTTCTCGCGTTGCCTTATGCGGGAAACGCGGAAGTAATAATCGCGGCTCCGCGAGCTCGGTCGTTTTGAACGCACCGGTGTGTTCCATTATTTAATGATCCATCTTCATATATTTGAAAGGAACGTCTGTTCTCAATCATATTCGCGCGTCATCTGCGAATATTTCTTTTTTCCCTTTTTTTTTTTCCTGTGATTAAACACGAAACAGGTTTCACGAGAATTTGCACGGCTTAATTAATCGCATGCATGAAAATTATGCAAAAATTATTTACTGCAATATCAAGTCGTTAATGAAAATCGAAATGTCACAGGCGTCACGGATGATGATCGAGCGAATCTCTTTTAAGATTTAACCCAGCGCCGAGGGTAATCCTACGCTCCCTTATGTGGAACACGCGAAAGTAATGATCGTTGCCAGACCAATGTACCCGCGTGCCAGGCATGTCACGGCACGTCATCGCCAAGACGGCGGCGCATCATCGACGCGACCTATTACAGGCCGGGCAAATTGCTTCCCGTCGTAAAATCCGTCCGAGTGATTGATTAGCATGAAGTCAGATCGAGTGGTTGACTCGTGCCTGCTTCCATCTCGCCGTTTTTCCACCCCAACCGCCTTACACCCGCGCGCATATTTCCAGGCATTAAAGCACCTCGCGTTCCCACACGATGTCGACGAACATCGACGTTATCGGCGTCAATCATCTCGATCGTTTTCGCTTTGTCGCCCACGGGTAACACGGTCGCACGACCGTCAAATTAGATTCAGTATTTATCCATCTTTTCTATTATTGCCCGCGGGGCAGCCACGCGCGTATCGTACCTGCCCGCGGTTCTATAAAATGATAGTTTTTGCCCGGACGGCTCTTCCTTTATTGCACTTCGCACCCGCTTAGAGCTGCGGCGCGCGAGAGATGATCGAGTACCAAGACGTTCTTGTTAGAACGGTGCCAAGAGGGACATTTAGCGCAAGCGCAGACTACATTTACTTCCCTGAAAATAGTTTTCCATTGCTGGCAGCGGTTTATTAATCCAAGGAAACTAGATGGCAAGTGTAATCTTTCGCGAGAAAGTAATTTTCGTTTATTTATATTATACGACGATTATCTAGCGATTACAGCTCGAGTGCGGAGGTTTTAGCCGATTTTGATAAGAAAAAATATATTCGTCGCAGATGTATATTTATCGCAGAATTGTATGATACGCTGAGCGACTTACCTTGCCGGTGGTAGCCGATTTGTAAAGCGGTCCCATGATAACGTGATCGGTCGGGCAGCCGTCGGAGTCGATGAGGACGATTTCGCTGGAGTCGACACCGTCCATGGCGACTAGCTCGCGTACAAAGATCTCGTACGGGCTGTTGGGATCGAGTATCTCGAATTTGAGCGCCAAAGGATCACCGACTTCGGCGGACGGGATCGCATCGTTGCCGCTGCGATCGGTAATCTTCATGGCGACGTTCGGCGAGTCGACGATTACCTCCTCCGATAGAGCCGGCGTGATGTCGCCGTGCACACCGAGATCCACTTCATTCGACACGGTCTTGTTGGTGAGATCGTACTGGCAAGTCACAGCCAGGCCGAGATCGGAACTGGTGACGATGGTGTCGTGGTGCTGGATCACTACGTCGTTCAAGTAACGGCCGAGACCCTGCTGTCTTATGTTACACTCGAGATCGTCGTACGCCATGCGAAGCTCGAACTCGAGCGCGCCCTTGATATCCTGCACGCACGAGTTGGGTGAACCCTTCGCGTATACCTTGCCGTAGAACAGCTTGCTCGTTTGAATTCTGGTCACCATATCGCCGGCACGACAATCAATGGTCACGTTGTAGCAGGAGCTGAGTTCGTACGTCGCCGCTTCCGACACATCGAGATACGGTTCCTGAAATTATTGTTTGTTTTCGGGCCGTTACTCATTGCTCGCACCGCGTACGGTTCCGACGTGTATCGCGTGTTAATGCGATTTGTCGTGGATATTAATTCAAAGGAATTACAGCACGCCGTAGTGATAAATTTCAAAATACGCGAAGCACGGATGTTTCGCAATTAAACTTCGCGAAGCTACCTCCCGCGATTTATCGATCATTCTTCTATTTTGTTCATTTCACGTTGGTTTGGAGATTTTGATAGCTTGCATCGGGCTTACACAAAAACTCCCGGAGAATTTATGACGAAAATCGAACAGCAAACGAAAAGAGTGCATCGAAATTCTACCACAACGTACTGTATTGATCTTCAATGATATAGTTCGCATAGCAATTAATATTTTACGGCATTCAACACAAGCGCAGGCGGGTGGAAAAAGGAACGTGAAGGATCTGCAATTTGCGCGGAAAATATCGCTGAAAAATTTTGTAATGCAATTTTTCGCGTTAATTTAACAAAAATTAGATTATTTCGTACTCTGTTAAATCGATTCCCGTTTCTGATGCAATGTTACATGAAATGATAATAATTTATTCGCACAAAATGATTAACCATACTCTTTATTTTCAATATCTAAAGCGTCGCATTTCCATTTATTTCGACGCGATATATCAAAAACCAATAATTATCAATCGCGGAGCGATATACACACGTATGTATTTTCATTTGTATCAAACAAATGATAATCCGCTCTGATTCACGGGCTTGTCACTTTCAAAGAATTATTTGGAATCCCTCTACATGACGCTATTCATTGCTTTCCGTCCGAAGCTCGATGGCCCTCTTCGATGAAACAAATTAATCGCGAATATTGCGCTGATAAATACTCTTGACGTTTTGTGCTTCACAGTTAATAATTTGTATATTTGTGGAGATGTGCCGCCGATGCTTGCGCAACCGTGGAGCTAGTCGCGGGACCGCACGCACATTCTCGCATTATACATATTAACCGCTCATCTGTCGAGTGAGAGAGCGCGTGAAACCCGTATAGTCGGACAATTATCCATATCGCGATGTCGGGGCAATATTTCAATTCGGTTCATTCTGTTTAAATAGTTCATTATACCAATTACTCGCATAAAAATCGATTGATGTATCAGGAAATTAATGTATCGCTGTGCAAAAAAGAAAAACACCCAAACAATCGAATACTCGACGAAGCGATGATCGTTAAATCTTTCGTTTGATTTTCTCCCCCGGAATACAGAGTGCGATTCGCATTCAGAGAGCCCGAGTGCTACCCCGGCAGTTCGATGGGGAAAAGCGTCTGCGATGGAAACTCGATTTTCCGCGAATGCACCCTCGGCGGATTGTTCAACCTGATTTGCATGTGTGCGACGTAATCGCGTTTATAGAAAATCCCCACTGGCCCTTTCCAAGAATCCACGCTGTGAGCTGACAGGCAAAACACGCGGCAGTCGCGAAACCGCTTTATGCTGCTTTAAACACTCCCGATGAATTGAATCACACACGTCCGGCAAGTAAATCGGAACGCGGCAATGTCTATTTCTCTCTCGCGTAGCAACAACTTCGCGATTAATGCGTTAAACTCATTACCGCTGTTATTTTACTGTCGCCGTATTTAGATATTCGCGTAATGTTTTTAACGTCGCTAACAGTAAGCATAAATTTGAAGTGTGAAATTTTTCTCACCTGAATATCGGAGAGAGTGGCGCGGGAATGATGACTGAGACGGCATACCATGTCGCCAGTATCGCCATAATCGTAAGAATGGCAGCGGAACGGCGAGTTCAGGCACAACTCACGACATTCGTCGGACGTTCCGACATCCTGGTAAACGGAGTCAACAGTCTTCAGTATACGACCGCTCAGCTTCTTAAATTCGCAAAGTTTCACGGGCTCTTCTACGCAATGGTTTTCCAAATAATCCACCCCCTTCGCTGTCTGGAAGGCGCTCGAGCCGGCAACAGTCAGCCTGTCCATATCCGAAAGTTCGCACTGCTTGGTAGCGTTGATGTAATTGGCAGATCTGTAATTCAAAGGAAAGTTCTCATAGAGAATTTGTCGTTGATTGCGAACCGGTAGTCTCTTATCTACGGTTTGCTCATGGAAAGATAAACTCGTTTAGATAAATTATCGTCGCGATAAACTGTTATAAAATCATCGACGGCAATAATACTTTCTTTATCTCGGATATCGCCTACTGAGAAGACTGGCAATCATTTTACATTACTATTTAATAGCTACACGCGTTTTATACATGCGCTTTAAATTATCTTTATAAATACGACGAGGCATCTACATATCGCCCTTAATTGAAGAATTAAATGCACAGCGTTTAAAGGTTAAAAGCGAAGCAGGATAATACAATCCGTTTCAGTCGTCATGCACCGGCGTCTTTTCTATTACGGTCGCAGTTCTCTGTTAATCTTGCAAGGCAAATTGTAAAGAAAACACGCATTGGAAAATCTGAAACACGCGTTGGAATCTCGTTTCCAGAGTGGCAGCGGAGACATGTCCGTCCGCCGGAATAATTACTTTCCGCCGCACTTTACTGCGCCGTAATAATGCGTGGTTAATGATACTAAATGGAGCTAAGCAAAGGACAATTAAGAAAACGCTAATTTACTAACGCTCTTGTTAGAGGAGCGTCTTATAATCAGTCCGTTTCTCATTCCTCTCTCCCACGCTTGTCGCGTGTACTGCAGATAATACATACACTTATCGTTAGCGTATCGAAACGAAAGATTCAAGCAGAAGAGGCAATAACTTTCCCAAGGTCTGCGCAATTTTTTTCCCAACGAGCGTGATCCAAAGGTTTGAATGGCAGCTTCTGATAAATTACGTATGTACTCATCTATAAAGTGGTATAATCATGGACATCTGGATGATGGAGTGACGCATTTGCATTAATGTTTCAAGCACTATAAACGGTACACGATATGATGACATCTATGACTGATTGGTACTCGAATTTGTGAAATTTCTATTTAATCGAATCACACGATTAGTTAATGTTCCGATAATTTATTTTGGATTATATTAAAGCGGCGACAAATTAACTTGCTAAATACAAAAGATTCGCGTTTGACAGAAATATTTTTTGCGGTACGTTATGGCGATTTTGTAACCATGAATAATTCTTTTGAGGCAGGCAACATGGATTTTTTATCAGTTTCGGAAATTGATAGAAGTTCCGACCATCGGAAATGATAAAAGATCTGAATGAAATTCATGGTTTCAAAAATATTTATCTCGAGTCTGCATTGCGTATATGCACGCTGATAACATACTATAGTATTACTCCGTAAATATTTGTGTTTGGACTTTGTACATATTGGTGGGAAATGATAGTATTTTATTGCACGCGCGCACGGAATAGTCAACAGAAAATGTCATATTTTTTACTGGATTTTTTATATATATATATGCAGATATTTACCATATCACGCTACGATTTCTCGAATGATCATAATAGTCGGTACAATTTGTAATAACGAACTGCTTCATATGAATAATTGGTTTACGACTTTATAAGAACGTAGCATTTTATGAACTCAATATAGCTGAATATTGGATAATCCAACGATTATAGAATATAATTTCGTTTGTTCGAAAATTATACTAAAATTATACTGCGATAATTCCAGATTCGTAAATTTGATTTATCTACTTGATTGAAACTAGTCTTTTGGAAAATCAAGAATTCTCTATCACTGTGATTATTTGTAATCAGTTTACGCCGAGACTGCAATTTTGCAGATCGACGGCGATGCAAAAAGATATGAGATATAGAAGCGCTCTCCATTAGAACATATGCGGTCGCATTCTTGTCGCGACCGCAACTTCCTTCGTTCGCCTGATGCGGCGTAAACGCATGTCCGACATACGCAACGAGCTTTCAAGACAGGAATCCAGGAAAATTGCGGCTCCGGTCTTTTGTATCTCGAGATCACGTCTTCACCTCTGTGGCCGCTCTATATAATCCGGGATTAGATATTCCCCGCATTGAACATTCCCCCGAGATAATCTGGAATATTTCCCAGCTTGAGCGGGACATTGAAATCATTACCATCTTTTTCTCCTTCCGGAAGAAAAGATCGGAAAAACTGCGCGGGGAAAAAGCAGTCAAGAGTTTCCGCCGCGACGTGCCCAGGTGCAGAGACTGGCATCATCATCGAACTCAAGTTTGTCCTCGGACTGGCACCGCGAACCGGCGATAGAAGAAGTCGGTGCCTCCCCTCCCCCCCTCTCCCGCAGGGGTCGCCGAAGAGAGCGGCCGCCAAATTTATTCCACGTCGCTCCATCGATTTCGGATTATATTGCCTTAAGACCTGAATAATATTCATGGCTGCCACGTTATGATTTCAATATTCCCGCTACCCTTCACCGAGCGACAGGCAAAGTCGAAAAATCACCGTGGCCTTATGCGATGGGGCGCGATAAAACCCCTCGAGTTTTTTGCTCGAGAATATAATCGAGTGACGCTCGCCTTGTAGTTGTCATGATTATCGATGTGTCCTTATACACTCCGTTCTTCCACGTCGTTATTTCGAAAATCAACGGGAGGGGGACGGATATGTGAACGTTGCGCGATACCGCGACAATGCCCTGCGGTAAAATCGACGACGCGAAATGAATGGGTTACGAAAAACGCGTCGCTAGCTTTGTTCCACTGCGCTGGTGCTTGAAATATATATATATATATATATATATATATTATATGTATGTGTGCGGATGAATGTTTGCTCGTTAAATCAACAAGTTTCAGTCCGATTGTTCGTGACTCAAATACAATAATTGTCCGATGGTATATGCCCCATCCCATCCCTCATCGCTTCGCCGGTGCAATACGTCGTTTATTATCCATTTTATATGCAAATCCGGACAATCGCTTTTATCGCAAATTATTTTTAGACCATTCACTGATTGCGCCGCGTTGATTATGCGCCGCGCCGCCCGAAAGATTTGTCGCCCATGCCCTGCTGATGAAGATATCGAATCACGCTGCGTTGAACACAGTGTCTCATTATCGCTGACGCGCAAAAACTATTAGGAAAGGCTCGTTTCAAAGCTCGTTGCCGCGATGGTGCAAGAAGGGCTGTAGCGATGTTACTTCGCCTGTGAGAGAGTTGGAAATATACCGGATATTGTAAAAACAACGTTGAAATCGTAGCTAACGAGTTGTAGTAAGTTGCAACAAACTCGCAGTGTCGCTAACGATGATGGAGTACGCCAATCACTCTTGCAAAACTAAAAGCTACAATACACCGCGCACTTTTTCAAGCGCAATTCGTACAGTTTATCACGAATTATTACGACAGATCACTAACTGGAGAGGAGAACAATAATTATCCATATCGAATTGTTCTAGCAAAAAATAATTGTGATAAAATAGTTAGTAAATTTTTATGAGATTTTTATCACTTCACAATGAAATCCGTCATACTGTAAAACATTTCTATCCACCGTGCGGACAGCCTGACATCGTAACGATCACGTTACGTTAATTTAAAGCGCAACAAGATTTATCGCACCGCTCGCAATGAATAACGTAGAGTAGAGAAAGTTTTATTTATTCAAAGCCAATTCACTTCTTCCTTATAGATTACGAGAGGGAGGTGAAAGCAAGTTGTGGGATATTTGCGAAAATTTGCTCGCCAAGTATCTTGGTTCGCCACGCATCAGTTTCGCAACTTTATGGCAGATACTTTTGGGATAGCTATACTTTCGGGGTAACCGAAGAAGAACCTTCTCGTTTCGTAAAACATCTTGCTCGCCGTATATCGTCAAGCTAACTTCTCGGGTGGCATTATCGTCGAGAGCCCTCTACTTAGAGAGAAACGCGAGGAGATACGGCCACTAAAGGCCGAGCCCCTCGGCGAAGTTTAGTTCGGACAGGCGATTCGGGTATCTTCTGGTGGTAAATAATTAATGGATAAAAGGGTAAAGGTACGTATACACAGTGTGTCCCGAGCTCATCGCGTTTCCTTCCATCTACCATTTCCCGAGTCAATTTGGAGGTGACTATTTTTTTCGCCAGAATTCAATTGAATTTTTTTATATAATATTTATATTTCACATTATTTCAATTTACTAAACATTTATTGAGGTATTTTTAAATTAAAATTAAATAAAGAATTGTATTCTCTATGCTAGGTTCAATCGTTTAAATTAATGAATTAAAAAAAAAAACGAGTGGTATCTCAATATTTTCGTTAAGAAAAAGTTTACTTTCTTAGAAAAAGGATATCACATATATTAAACACACTTTCTCCTGTCGCGAGACTGGAATTTCTCGTTACCTGCGAGAGAGCAACACGAGCCGACTGATTGTGAGAGGCTGGTGATGTGACAGGAGAAGATACGAGGGTAAGCCGAAAGTCTATTGCACAACGATAAAGCCTCCCCCGATTTTCTTTTTTCGATTCGGGACAAAAGATACCCGGCGCTCGTCTCGTACAACTTACGGTAAACCTCGAGGGAAATTTTAACCTTCGAGACAGATGTTAAATGCGAAGTTAACTGCGACGGGACGACATTCCGTCCGTCTTTCGCCCCCTCTGACTTGCTTCCTTTTTCTGTTGTCCCGACACTCTCTCCTTCTGTCCCCGTGTTGTCGCTCTATCGTAATTCTCTTTCCGCACTTTCACACTGTACTATTCCGAACAAATGGTGAGACAAAAAAAAAGGACAGGCCGGATCAAGTCGGCGGGAAAGAGAGAGAGAGAGAGAGAGAGAGAGAGAGAGAGAGAGAGAGAGAGAGAGAGAGAGAGAGAGAGAGAGAGAGAGAAAGAGAGAAAGGCGAAGACGAAGAGGGCGAACGAGAGCGCGGCACCGTTGGTGACGGTGGAAAAGAATTACAAGTGGTTCGCCCCGCTGCATCTCGATGAATCTCAAATTATTCTTCGTCCGCGCGCCTGCTACGGACCTCCATTGCGGAGCCGGGCGAAGAGGCGGGTCCTGAAGTACATATGTATACATACCTATATTGAAAGACGTCAATCGTAAAAACAATTTCTGCCCCTT